CCAAAGGAACTCCATCTTCACAGAGATCGAGGCCGCCTTCGTTAACACAGCAAGGAGGCCTTACAACTTGGACCTCGAAGGTAAGATGGCCAAGGACATCGCCGACCTTCTTCGAATGGGCCCGGATCCAGATCGGAACCAGGTCGGTGGAGGTGGAAACCTTGGAAGAAGATGAAGGAGGAGATCGCGCCTCCTACCTGAACAGGTTCATAAGCGAACTCTGGGACGATGAGCCTGCCCGCAAGGTGAACTGCCGGTTGAGCTACCCGCAGGCAGGTTACAGATGCACGCTCCTTGTACGACGCCCGCGACGGACAAGCAAGCCATGGTCAACATCAGGCCTATCCAGGAAGACGTCACCCCCATGCAGTACCATTGGGTATCCACGCAGCTCATGAGGGTGGCAAGGTGGACAGCAAGCTGAGGGAGGAATTCTCTTGCACGGCATCGCCGTTTTGCATGAGAGTGAGCCAAGGCCAAAATTAAACTGTGATCAGTGAGAAGCTTGGGCCAGCCACTTGACATTGGCGCGTTTGGCATGTATGCGTGGCCCGTTTTGCCTTTCATATCTGCCCAAGTCGGGCTTGCTTGAGTCTCCTTCGTAGCTGATCCAGACAGGATCGCATCGCACATGGATAAGCACGTATTCAGGGATTACGACGTCAACGGAGCGAGTGTTGTCGAGAGACGCATTCCATGCTTTTCCCCGTCAGAGGCGCCACAGGCGGCGCGGTAGCGCTGCTGGGCACAGTGCCGGCTGCTGCCTCGGGACTTGACTGAGACAACGCGCGGTTTCAGAGAGTGCAGACAGCGTAGAATAGTTGGCAGTTGTTCTTACTTGGATGCTGTGAAAAGAGCGAAGAGTTGGACAATTGGCCTTGCCCAGGCCTTGGGTTTGGCTGCAGGCTTGGGCGGCGGTGCCGCGGCCTGATGAGATAGAGCAAGCCGTCCGGCAGGTGGGCTTACGTGATAGTCCAATCATACTGTGGCTTCTTAAACTTTGGTGCTGTGTGCGCATGCGCTATGATTCCCAGATCGAAGACTTACTTTGCATGGCCAATCTCTCAAGGCTGATGTGAGCCAAAACATCCTTTGCCATTTGTCTCCAAGCCTCATCTATAGTGGCGTGTCTGGCACAACCTTCATAAGATAGTCCGTTTAATTGATGGAGGCGCTGAGCACACAGAAAGGGATAGTTGCGGTTCTGAAGATCTGAATGGGGCATGTTTCACTTGTGCAACATAAGTACCGACTTGGTGCCATCGCCAGGTTTCCCCATTATTGTAGCCCGAAGGGAACTGATCTCAACAACTGCTTTGCGATCCCAGGTTTTGCATGCTGATCGAGGGTACTTGTCCAGTTTAATTTTGGGAAGGGACGGCAGGACCACCAGGGGTAAGGGAGCGGGGTTCCACAGCGCCTCGCAGACCATGACGTATTGAGGGGCAACGATTAGATCGCAAGACATGCCCGCCTTTGCTTTGTGAGCTCACGGGCATTTCCCGGATCCCCAACTCAGGCTGGCTGCTTGGCCAACGCCTGCGAGGCCATGGCAAAGAATTTGTGTGCATTTGTTTGAAGAACTTGGATCGAGGGTCAAGCCAAGCCATTGAGCTTTTCGCGTTGTTAGTTGGCGCACCTAGTCAAATCCGAGAGTCTCAAGCCAATTCAGGTTACAGGCACAAACCTCGGCATGCAGGCTAGGTTGATCCAGTCTGGGTGCGTCGCAGGCCGAGGCAAAGTAGACAGGCTGGGCACAAGTAGTTCCCGCTCTGTGACTTTGTGTTCGAGAGTGGTAGGAGTGGAGCTTGTCTTTAAGCAGTGGAGCTTGTCTTTAAGCAGATGCTTGCAGTGTGCCGCTGCTGTTGAGTCGCAGATTGACAGCCAAATGTATTTTATTTGCTTGAAAGGCCACCAGTCGTGAAGACTGCGGACGAGTCCTCCAGTGATGAGGAAACAGATGAAGAACAAGACCAAGTTGCCTGCCTGTACACCTATAGAGTTCTCAAATCGAGGGTTTCAAGAGTTGTTGAGATGCTTTGGCATTGCCCAGCGAGCAGACTGCCTGAGTGGAAAGACGATTCACCTGATTCAACAATGGCTGAAGAGTGCCCAGGCACAAGTGTGTCACGCTTAAAGAACCCTTTTACTCAGGTGGTTATGAACCCTTTAGTGGGAGTTGAGGCAGCCCCGAGAGGAATTCCTAGCCATGGCGCGTGTGGAAGTGGTTCATGGTTTAACAGACTCAGCTTCTTGCAGTGCCCAAGAAAACCTACCTTTTAGTCCTCAGCTGGAATCAAAGGGAGTGTCAGTAGGTGTGTTCCAACCAAGGCTCTGCAAGAATTGGGAGAGTATATGGGTGCCGAGTGCTTGGGACGATTCCTCAGGCGGCAGCGAGTCAGCTTTGATCGTTGTAACAAGCAGCTCACTGTGCCAAGTTTTGTGTTCGTTTTAGATTGCGCTGTGGCCACATGAAGACACAGTTTATGTGGAGCAGGCTATGCTAGCCCGCTTCCTGCACTGAAGTCGTGCAACTTTGAATGTAGGAGAGGCTGGAGTCACAAAGGCAGCTTGCTAGAGCAGCAAGAGTTTGTTCTCTGCCAAACAGTAACCGTGTGTTGACGTGCATCCGCACAGAGTCTGAGTGTGATTGCATGACATTGATTCTTGTTGAATTATCATGGAACGATTGGTCTACCTGCAAGAGCCACATCCTAGCTTGCGCGAGTTTAGTTCTTGTGACTTACATGGCCAGGCATGGCATCTCACATGGTTGGTTCCCCTGTGGTTTCAGGCGCCTAGACCAGCAAGATCCTGGAAGTGGCCAGCAGGACTGGGGGCCTTCCCTGTGCCAAATACCAGCAGATTGCAGAGAAAAGTCCTGGGAAGGCATTGTGTCCAGAACAGATGTTGCAGCATGGAGGGAAGTTGCGAAAGATGCGGGATAAAAAAAAAAAAAAATGCACATGGGTGGATGAGCCCAACTAGACTTGCTGCAAGGGCACGTTTTCTTCGTCGCCGAGTCGCCAAGGTTTTCAGGGTTTGTGGCAAATGTGTTGAATTGGCAGAAGTGCGATTTGCCAACGGGGAAGAGCACAGAATGCGCTGCTGTTCTCTTAGGCCTTGTTTGCATTCGCAGGGGCTGCAATTGAACTAGAATCAAGTCAGGGGACACATGGGGATACTTTGGCTTAAGTTCAGCGTTCGGCATCAACAGCGCCGGCAACTATCCTTTCGAATTTCTACTGAGCCAAGTACATTGCAGGACAGCCAGGAGGTCGTCCTCATCCAGAAGGGCCTTCATGAGGCTTGTGAGCGCGCAAGTAGCAACCAAACACCAAAACAACCGAACAAGACAATACAAAAGCAAGCAAACCCAGAAACATGCAGGCAAGCGAGTACGCATGCCCGCAAGCAAGCACGCGCGCAAGCAAAGAAACAGACAACCAACCAACAAGCAAACAAACCCACAGACACACAATCACACACACAAACACAAGCGGACAAACACACAGCCACACCCGCGCACCCGCCCGCCCGCCCGCACGCACATCCGCGCGCGCACGCGCAAACATACAAACGCAGCAACACAGCAACGCGCGAACGCACCAGCAAGCAAGCAAGCCGGCAAGCAAGAGAGCCAACAAGCACGCTCACAAAAGCACACAAACAAACAAGCAAGCCAGCAAACAATACCAACCCTCCGGCACCCAACCAACCAGCCAACTATCCAACAAAAAACAAAGAGACAAAGAGACAAAGGAACAACAGGAAAATTAAAAAAATAACTAAGGAAAGAAAGAACACAGCATATATATATTATATATATATGTATAAACACAGACAAACAGACACACGCACACACAAGCAAACAAACAAGCACACAAACAAGCAAGTAAACAAACAAGCAACAAACAAGCACACACACTGACAAACAAACAAACACACACACACACATACGCCACCACACACACAAGCAATCACACAACACATACGCACGCACGCACGCACGCACGCACGCACACACACACAGAGACACACAGAGACACACAGAGACACACAGAGACACACAGAGACACACAGAGACACACAGAGACACACAGAGACACACAGAGACACACAGAGACACACAGAGACACACAGACACACACACACACACACAAACAGGCGCAACAAAAGCACTCGCACAAGCGCACACACAAACAGACAAGCGCTCACAAACACACAGACACACACACACAAGCAACAAACAACAGCAGCCAAAACCAAAACAAACACAAGCACAACCGCAAACAAACAAACGCAGACAAGCCAACACGCAAGCAAGCGAGCAAGCAAGCCCAAAAATCAAACAAGCAGAGGAACAAGCAAAGAAGCAAACAAAGAAACACAACGGTTTATCAAGCAAGCCAAGCAAGCAAGCAAGCAAGCAAGCAAGCAAGCCAGGAAGCAAGAGCAAGCAAGAGCAAGCAAGCAAGCAAGCCAGGAAGCAAGAGCAAGCAAGAGCAAGCAAGAGCAAGCAAGAGCAAGCAAGAGCAATCAAGAGCAAGCAAGCAAGCAAGCAAGCAACATGGCTTAGAGTGTACCTGCCTCCTCTTGTCCTTACATTGACTCCCTGTGCAACGTTCTTGACCAACATGATTTGTGAGTCCTCGTCTAGAAAAAACATAATGACTATCCAACAAAGACTCCTCATGTGCTGCATTGGGCTGATTCATGAAGTGGCCAGCGCCTGCAAGCGTGCGGGTGTGGGTATGTGTGTGTGTGTCCGCAGTTTGAGTCTTTGTGTTTGTCTGTGGCTTGCGTCTTTCTGTGGCTTTTGTCTGTCTCTGGTTTGAGCCTTTGTTACTGTTTGAATGCGTGTCTGTTTGTTTGTTTGTTTGTTTGTTCGTTTGCTTGCGCTTGTTTGCCTGTGTTTGTGTTTGTGCTTGTGCTTGTGCTTGTGCTTGTGTTTGTGTTTGTGTTTGAGTATGTGTGTGTGTGTGGGTGCGGGTGCGGGTGCGGGTGCGGGTGCGGGTGCGGGTGCGGGTGTGTGTGTGTGTGTGTGCGTATTTGCGGTTAGGCTTGTGCATGTGTTGGTGTTGTTGTGGTTGGCTTTGTTTTTGGTGTTGTTTCTGTGTTTGTCTTGTTGTTCTTGATGTTGAATTAGTGTTTGTGTTTTGAGCTTTGTGGCGTTTGCGTTTCTGCTTGCGGTTGTGCTTGTTTATGTCTGTGAAGTGAATAACTGCTCAGTGTGCCGTTTTGGTGGCAAGGACCATCTTACTTCCAAATTGCTGAGACCTCAATTCACCTGTGGCTTTGCTGTGAGGGAGTCTGGCTAGGCCTTTGACAAGATGCCCAGAGAAAGGCTAGCCCAGCACCTTGCAGAGAGGGATTTAGCTTGCCGGCGAAGCCGATAGACGCAGGGAGGGGTGAGGGAGCGGGGCAGGCCACATAGGAACAGACTCGGTCTCGGGTCTTCCTGAGGGGGTTCACCCAGCATGGTACCGTGGCATTAGACCCCAGGTCGCAGACACACACACACAAATGTACGCGAATGGTGCTGGGTCACTGATATTATATGGATAAGATGGCATGCCAGCTTCCGCTTTGAACTTGCATCATAGCCACTGTTTCATGTTCGGAACGCCAGTCAATGAAGCAGGGCGCAGCTTCCATGTTTGTTCCACAGATGGATGCAATAGGCAGCACCAGCACCACGTTCGTGTGCAACGACTTGAGCCCCCCTTGCCTATGGCAGCTCCAACAGCAATTTTTGATCAGCACAAAGCTGCTTTCAGCTCGCTTACATTTGAGGCTGCTGGTCTTCTTCCGACCTGGGCAGAGGGAGCCTCCAAGCCTGGAGGTGTGGAGAAAGGGATTGGAAGGGGAAAGTGAGATGGCCAATTGCAAGGGTGTCGAACCAACTATAAGGTTGTTTCTGGAACGGTTTGAAGTTCTGCAGTTCTGCAGCAGCGCAGGAACTGGGGGAGATACAGAACCTGTGCGAGGAGGTGCAGGCCTCGCGATGTCAGCGCTCGGAACTAGCGCTGGAGCTGGGCAGCCAACAGCTGCAAAAAAATTACCGTGGTTTGCTCTGTGTATGCTTCTGGCCAGGATTTGATGCCTGCAGAAGCAAAGGCAGCCATGGAGCGAACGAACAGCCACTTGGGTGAAAATGGCCAAGGGTTCAGTTTTGGCAAGTCAAGTATATGGAAGTGTTGGCCAGCATACGAGTTTGGAAAAGACCACGAGATCATGTAGATTGTACTGCCTGCGGAGCGATGTTGTGCCAACTGGTGGCTGAGTTTTGCTTGCCTCCTTCAGGCACATTTCTTGAGAACGTTATGGGCACAATGCCAGGCGGGGTGTGTGAATGTTTAGGCTGCTTGATTCACAGGCTCCTTGCCTGCCCAGCAGACGGAATTGATTGCTAGCCGCCTGCTTGGCTGTTAGATGCAGGCAAAATTGAGATTATTCCCACGGCATGATCGGCTCCTTTGCGACTCTTGGCCGGGGCAGGGCCATCCGCAAGCGCGGATGACGCACCCTCTGCATCTGGACCCATGGAGCAGTGAGTGGCGGGAAGGCTAGGCGATGAAAGGAGCAGACTTGCAAATTTGTGAACAACAGCTGTGATAGCCTCAGTGTAAAGCTTCATCAGATCCAGAGATGGTGCTAGAGTTGTTGCGAGGTCATCAATCTCGACTGTTGGCTTGAATGTGGCTTTTTGCCTTCGAGTTTCTCCTGTGAATGTACGGAGCAAGGGCTGCAGATGTTTCAAGCCAGATGCCCCAGATGTTTTGGATGGTGTCCTGTTTGAGCAGTTTGTACCAGCAGCCCTCGCTTCATCATCTCGCAGCCAGCATAAAGCTCGGAAGATCCGGAGTGCAATGGCAGCGGGAAGAAATACACATTCTGACTGACAGACGTTTTTCAGCACCACTACGGGTAGGCATCCGTGATCCTTCACATGCTTACAAAGACTCAAGATGGTGTTTCTTCGGCGTGAGTTTGCTTTCAACCTCGCAAAGCTACCTGACGCTTCAAAGGTATGTGTTGGTTTGCACTTGACTTTGGGCCGGCTAGGAGCCTGATTTGCTGAAGGAGAGGCGTCGCATGAGCCAGTGCCCAAGATTCATACTGTTGTTCTTTTGCGACCAACCAATTTCCTTTGTGATGAGGTATGCATTTATTTGCTGAGGGATACACCGTAGGAATGCACTGTCCGAGAAGCATGCTGAGGTGCAAATGCCACAGAGGTGACCACGACAGCAGATCCATCAGCAAGGGTTCCCAGACCGACTGGCATAGGTCGACGACAGGGCTTGCAGTCGATAGCATGGCTGCCGCAGAATTGAATATATGAGGCAGATGGCTCCAGTGAAAGAATACTGCAAGCATTTATTGTAGAGGTTCAATACGATCCACTATTTCGGAGGAAAAGTTGAGAGCAACCTTGAAACTATGAGCGTCCATCTTGGAAAATTTTGGAAATCTAAGGCTAAAATACCGGCACTTTAAATTTCTAAATAGGGGCACTGGGGGGGAGGTTGTACCACACATATTGTATGTATAGTTATATATTTAAAACCCAATTCTGCATCGGATGTGTTAGTTGTGCAGCAGTGCTTTGTGACTATCACTTTTGGCGAGCAAAATCGTAGAGTTGGAAGCTCCTGGCAGGACTCGTATCATGTGGTCAAACATCCCAAGGGTCAATAAGCCAAGCACTGCATAAGCCGTTGCGCACTGGTCGGTGGCCTTTTTCTCCGGGACTGCGGACGGCCGTTAGAGCAACAACTCTCAAGCGGGTGCCAAGAGTCATAACTCAGAAAGTTCACAGGCCTTGTTGTTTCTCTCAGTTGAAATCGGCAGAGGTTTGTGAAAAAGTTTTAATCTTGAAGCCATTCAGCCGCAGGTGACACAGCCTGAAGCCAAGCGGCCGCGCCGATTGTTTGTGTTCATTGATGTGGTGTTGATTGATGTGGTGTTGGTTGGCACTTGGCAGCTCTGTGATTTAGAAGCTCGCTTGTTTGCGTATATGCAGAAGAGGTCTCCTTGTGGGTGTGTGTGTGTCATTTCATGGTCAGATTCATCCTGGATCCCCCATTCAATAAGCTGTGTTTGCTGCAAAAGATTTGCACTTCCCCAACTGATAGCACCGACAACAAACACACATTTACTGCACCCTGGCAATGAACAGACATGGCTTTCCTAAGCCAAACCAAAAGAACCCTAACAAAAGCTTAAAGCCGTCCTGGCGACCCTGAATAAACCCACGCGAAACTAGCAATAAACTATCCCCAAACCAACTCTAAACCCACCGCAAACCAACCCAAAACCCCAACCCACTCAAAAACCACCCCAAGCCGATCCTAAGACCCACCCCAACAAGGAGAACACCATCCCTAGCACACCCTACACCAACCCCACCCCCAACTAAACCTTGGCACGCTAAGCAAACCCCATACCACCCCGTTGAATTGCCATGTTCAACTGCATGCCCCATCAATGAAGATGCACACTTGACATATGGCACCGATGACAGGAGGACCATTTTTCAGGTATTTTTTTGTTTTGTTTCTTTGTTTTTGTTTCTCTCCGCGCTGGCATTTTGGCTTTGGTGACTTTTCGCGAGGAATCGAGGCTTCTTGTGGCGTTGGCTTTTTGCAGCATCACAAGTAACACCCCCAGCATCACCGGCTTTGGGCTTTGGGCTTTTTGGCTTTTTGGTTAGGTGGCTTCTTGGCTCCCAGGCTCCTGTAGTTTTTGGCTTTTGGCTTCTTGGCTTTTTGGCTTCTCAGCTTCTTAGAGCACCTTGGTAGTAATCGCACACTTTCTTCATTCATGTTTTCTAATGGAGGGAGCTGCAACCCCTTCTTCATAGATGTTCGGCTTTGTGATGCTTGTTTGTAATCGCGCGCTTTCTCCATTACTGTCTTTATTTGCTTTTTAGTTGGCCACCCCCCCCCCCCCCGCCCCGCCCAACCTCTCCCAGCTTCTTTTTTGGGCCGACCGTTTTTCGGCTTTGTGATCCTTAAACGGAATCGCTCCATTTATGGTTCTATGTATTTTCCCAATGGGGGGGTTGGCCCCCGCTTCTTTATCGGGCATTTTGGGCTATTTTTCGGCTTTGTGATTCTCAATGAAGAAGCCGCACTTTGTCCATTAGTGTTTTTATGTTGCTTCTACTGGGGGCGCAGCCAAGCTAAAGATCCAAAGCGCAACCAAACCCACGTTCCGGGCCTTAAACCCACCCTAAACAACCACTAAACCCAGCATCCCCGAGCCGCTAAGCTTACCCCAAACCACCCTAAGCCCGCCTACCACAACCACAGCCTAAACCAAATCTAAACCCGCCCTAAACCAGCCCTAACCCCCCCCCATAAACCAGCACTAAGCCATCCCAGTTCCCAAGCGCAGCCACCCTAAACCCAGCCGAAACCAAAGCCAAATGGCGATGCCGATGATGTTGAACACGATACAGGATATTGACAGGGCCAACATCACCAAGCTATTTTAGCCCCCATGCAACCTTAATTTGAAAATAAATTCTTATGTTGAAGTTTGCCTTGACATCAAGAGTTCCTTTGCGTAGAAATACGAACGAAGCATCGATTTCCTGTTCGAAGGTCGCTGTGGTTCATTACTGTCGGTTCAGTCAAGAAGCCACTGCCACATGCGCTTTGGTCTGTTTCAAGGCTGAGGCAGCATCTTGAACTCGCGACGCGCCCAGGCAGTGCAGCTGGGGGAACCCGACGATCACGGACTATTTCTACGTCGGGTGCTTGGGTGTGGACACGGAAATCGCCTCTCATGATGCCAAGAGCCCTGGGTCTTGGCGTTCCATGATGCTGGAAGCCTCACCTTCAAAGGCAACGCGCGATGGCCAAGTTGCTTGCAACCAAGCCAAGTGAACATGGTGAATGCCTTGCTTGGCTCAGGACACCAGCCAGTGCTCGCAGAGTGGGTCGCTGGCAAGCAGCTCAGCCACCCAAAGATGAATGTTGCTCGGAACGGCCCGTGCAAACTCCAACTTGGCCAAAATTCCTTCATGACACCTGATGATGAAAGCAGGTCTACCGCCTCAGCATGCTGTACATCTATTTTGCTGGTTGCTCATTTGCAGCAGCCCCAGCATTCGCAATCAGGTCATGGCAAGTGTTGCAGCAGCAAAAATAACAGATGGCCCTGGTAAGTCTTTGGCACGATTTTCGAGATACAATGGTTGACCTGGCATGAAGGAAACCGAGAACCAGCCGTGATTGCGACAACTTTGCCAGCAAGCCTTTGTTTGGCCCCACTGAATGCCGCGTGGTAGAGACAAGGTTTCCTACGTGCAAGTGCAAAGACCACGCAAAGACTGCACGACTGGGACTACTACTACGACTACTACTACCTACCTACCTACCTACCTACCTACCTACCTACCTACCTACCTGCCTGCCTACCTACCTACCTACCTACCTACCTACCTACCTACCTACCTACCTACCTACCTACCTACCTACCTACCTACCTACCTACCTACCTACCTACCTACCTACCTACCTACCTACCTACCTACCTACCTACCTACCTACCTACCTACCTACCTACCTACCTACCTACCTGGTACTACTGCTACGACGACTACTGCTAGTGCTGCTGCTACTGCTAATTACTGCTACTGCTACTGCTACTGCTACTGCTACTGCTACTGCTACTACTACTACTCCTAACTCCTACTTGCTCTCCTGCTCATACTCCTCATCCTCCTGCTGCTGATGCTGCGCCTGGCCCAGGCGGGGCCCGGGGCAGCGTTCTACACGCGGGTCTTGACCAGCTGAGTGAGACGGTCGAGTGCACCAATCATCAGGGAACGCTGCCAGAAACTCTCCCGCGCGAAGCTCAACTTGCGCGGCGATCAGCGCAGCATGCTCTAGACCACACAGCGCGGGGGCGAGGAGGTCTCCCTGTTCGCATCCCTCCCCCCTCCTCTTGCCTGATGACGTGATGCGTGCCTTCCGCATCCCACCACGAGTAGCGTGACTCCACCGCTACTACTACTACTGCTGCTACTACTGCTGCTACTACTACCACTAGATCGCGGAGACATTATAGAAAGACTTCGAGAGAACTACAGGAAGGAAATGAGTCAGTTTTGCTGCATTACCAGTACTTATGTTGATTTCAAGCTCAACCTTTTTCAGCAGTTTTATGCGTGATGTTCCATGCCATGGCGTGATAGATTTACAAGCACCAATTGACAACCTCATGCAAGGCGGTCTTCACCTTCTTTGGACAGCTGGTGCGCCGTATGCTGACGCCCGAGCCGTGGTTTTTCAACCCTCAGATGCTCAGAGGCAAGAAGAACTCTTTTCGCAGCACGCAAGAAGGACTCATGCTTTTCACTGAAAGGCTGCAACAAGCCCGGTTCCAGGAACAGGTCAATCTGCGAATGCACATCATATAGTTGCCAACATGGAAAAGAGGTGTTGGTTGATGCCTGTCATTGATACTCCACTTTGCTAGGTTCGCATGGCGTGACAAGGGGCCAAGGTTAAAAGTTGCCAACAAAGACAGCAGGGTGCAGGCTGATTAAGAACAAGAGTCAGATTGCACCCGAGTAAATGACCCTCATATTCATTGACAAGCGCTGTGTGAATGTGAATGAATGGTTTTTTGCTACAGGTGGCTTTGAGGAATATCATTCGGCATCAAACAGTTGCCCTGTTTTGTTCCCTTGGCTTCCAAAGAGAGCCAACCATCCATCCGATGCCCATCAACTCCGAACTCCCACAAGTGCTTATAAAGCTTTGCGCTTGACATGTTGAGAACTGCTCACGGCCATCTTTAGAGCGGGTCTTGCAAGCGAAAGTCCGGGGTTGCTGCTGGATCCGGACATGTTTCGTTGCTTGGCCACGCGCCATCGTCCAACACGAGCATGTTATGCAGTGTCGCAAGTGCAGGAGAGCGCGCCGTGCAGCCAAGGACGCCAGACGAGGGCAACATCTACAAACTCCTACGGCTGGTTGCTCCGTAGATACGGTCTTTCCATCCAATCAGGGGAGGCAAGCTGGCGTAAGCTAGCCTTTCCACTACGCCGAAACCCGGGTTCGCCCTTGATAATGCACCCTTCAACTTCGCAGAATGTGAGGTGGAAGTCGAGTTGCATGGCTCGCCACGAAAAGGTTATTGCTGGGCCAACCAGGCATTCAATGCAAGAAGCTAAACTCAACATCCTCATGTCACGTGTTAAGATAAACATCAGGCGCTGCTTGCAGAAACAAGCAGTGCCAGAGTTTTTGAAGACAATGCTGACCATGCTTTCTTTGCCTTGCCGACACCAGGTTTTGGGCGTTCGCCAAATCAGTGGTAGACTTTGCATCAACCTGGCTCAGTCTTTGCGCAGCATAGATTTGCGCCTAGTGTCCTTCCAGGATATGACAAGCACGACTCACCCAAGCAGTGCTAAGCGTGGCAGTTCTTCAACACGCCATTAGCAGGAGTGACCGCGTTGACATTAGCCAGGCCAGGAGGGACATGGATATTTGAGCTTACTCAAATCGGGCCAACCTTTTGCGCAGGCCATGGCAGGGCGCGGGAAGCGGGGAGCCTAGCATGGACGAATAGATGTGCTCGAGCTGCCAAGCTCAGTTGATAGGCAATGCAACCTACTTGAACTAGGTTTGGTTTCCAAACCTCGAAGCATTCTAAAACTTTGGTTCTGCCCAACCCTTTCATCCTACCAAGCCTTTCCCGGCTACTTGTTTGGGTCACAAGGCAATCGAAACATTACACCACATTGCAGCCCTGTTACAAGATTGAGGAGCGAGTGTCGAACGGGAATGTCAAAGATGTGTTGCACCTTGTGAGCTCATCACCTGCATGAGGGGTGCATTGTAGGGTGCTGCAACTTGCTGACCATGCCGTGACACATGGCTGGCTGCACACCTGGCACGGGTGAACTCAGTAGTGAAAAGACCAAAGATCAACGGGGTTATCAGTGGCAGCATAGGTTCTTGCTAGCAGGCGACTCCGCAAAGCACGAATGCAGAAAAGGGTGCTAACCAAGGCTGCTGTGGTTCTTGCAACACTTGGACCATTTACATCTCCAATTTCCAAGTTGTGTACAGGTTCGGGGAGCTGCTGGAAAACCCGGACTCGGTAGTGCGTGCCGAAGACTGGCAGGCGCGGGGGTAAGGCAAGAGCATTGGCTGAGGGCGTGGATTGATTGCTGTGATAGGTAGGGATTGCGCAATTATTTGCCTGTGAATCTGGACATGGTTAAAACATGTCAAATGTCAAAACCCTTATGGTCACGGACGAGGCAGGGCTAGTGAGCTTTTGGGAAGAGTTACCTGACAGGTTTGTGGCAGATCTGAAGCCTCGCCCTTTCCCACTACCGTCGTGCGCCACGCCCGTTCAGTTAGTCGTGTGTGCGCGTGTCTGTTGCTGGCTTGGCTTGGATGCTTGCTTGCTTGCCTGCTGACTTTCTTCCTTTTTATATATCTTTGCTTTCTTTGCTTTCCCTCTCCTTGCTTGCTTCGCTTTGCTTCGCTTTGCTTCGCTTCACTTTGCTTCGCTTTGCCTTGCTTGCTTGCTTGCTTGCTTGTTGCTTAGCTTTCTTTGCGTTCTTTGCTTTTTTACGTTGTTTGCTGGCTTGGCTTGGCTTGCTTTCTTGCTCGCTCGCTCGCTCGCTCGCTCACATTCTTGCTGGCTGTCTTTGCCGTTGTTGCTTTATTTGATTTTTTCTGCTTCCTCGCTTTGCCTTGCTTGCTTGCCTGCCAGTTCGCCAGTTCGCCAGTTCGCCAGTTCGCCAGTTCGCCAGTTCGCCAGTTCGCCAGTTTGTTGTGCTTCTTATGTTTGTTCTGTTTGTTTGTTTTTCTTGGTTCCTTCTATGCATGCCAGCATGCAGGCTTGCCGCATGCTCGCTTGCTTGTTTCTTGATTTTGCTTTGCTTCATTGTCTACTTCTTTCTTGCAGGTCACATTTTGAGACCTGCCCCAGAAATAGTGCGAGAACGCACTGCCTTTCCAAGCTTGCCTGATCTGTCACTTCACGTTCATGTTTCCCAGTTTGACTCGAGCGGACTTGCTTTTTATACGCAGTCAAATGCGCAGGACGGGGCATCAAGGCTGCCGTCAAAAAGAACACCTCTAACACTTTGGTCCAGGGCTTGACAAACCAAGCATGAGCCAAGCAGGCAAAACAAACCAATCACGAGCCAACCACAAGCAAAACACAAGCCACATACCGACCCAACCGAAGCCAAAACAAACACACACACACACACACACAGCTAAACACACAATACAACAAGGAAGCACGCAAGCAGCAAGCGATTAAGCCAACAGGCGGCAATTATAAAACAAGCAACACACCAGGTGATGAGGTACGCCAGGTTTCGGATTGACGTGCCACTGACTCCGGCATCCCATGTTGAGACAGAGCCCGCTGAACGGAAATGGACAGCTATGCAACTTGAATTGCTGTCTGATTTCTGGCCAGGAAGCCATACGGAAGGGCTGCGAGATGGTGCAAATCGCCAGCGAGAGGAAGGCTGTAGCGAAGGGGTTCAGCGAAAGGGGTCCTGCGCTGCCCCTTTGTGACATGCGACCGTGAGATCATGAGCCTTACGTCGAGAGGCACGCATCGCAGTTGCTGCTGTTTTTGGCCCGTGAGCAGTATAATCATAGAATCGTGTAACCCCCACAAGATCTGATAATTTGCATACTGTACAGAAAGACAAGCATGCAAACCATGGGCCAGCATCAGAGCGTTGTGCGGTTCACCTGGGCTCACGAAGCTGTAGGGCTGGGAGAGCCAACTTGAAGCTGTGGCATGGTGTGCGACTACTGCGACAAATGCCAAGAGTCAGAGCAGATTGTCAATATACAGGTACAGGCCGGGTTCTTGGCAGTATGCACTCAAAACGTGATACGCGATACACTTTGAGTGCAGGGCGAGGGCTTGAGGAGAGCTGCATTCAATGGCACCACTGCAGCGTTTGCATGGCAGGTTCCGAGTGACTTTTATCCTGGCCGCAGTTCGCCACAAGATGTAGATGATACCTCAGTTGACGGGAACCTTGGACATGCAAGAGAGATAGCGGGCTGTACTGGACCAATCAAAGCCCGGGTTGACCTCGGGAAAGACGCGACACTTCAGCCAGGGTTTCATGCTTTGTTTGCATCCTAGATGTTGTCTCAAAACAGATGAACATTTGCGGGTTGGTCCTTGCCTTCTACTGTTACATCAAATTTTCCCTATCACTGCATTCTAGATTAAAGGAGTGCTCAGCCAAAGTGAGTTCCAATTGAGCGCCTGGAGCTGGATCAAAACCGAATTCTTGTAAATTTGGTAGCGGAGGGCTCACGGACCCTGCAGGGGCATAAGCCCGTGCGCGCTTGAGGTTCGCCGCAGATGGTGCAGGAGATCCCGAAAGTTCTCGTGAGGTATCTAGGCGTCTTCCTGGCCCAGGCGAACCGCATCATGGCCTAGCCCCATACGGGCGGGGGAGTGGCGGGGGCAATCCCCTCGGTGAGTTCAGGAAAGACGTGCTTCCAGGATGGGCTCCCGGAGATTCGAACTACGGCCATAGTAAGGAGCAGCCCTGGGCACCTTCTTCAAGTACCGCAGGCTGGCAAACGTCTCCTTGGCGGGGCTCAGCAAAGAACGCAGAGTGTTCTTCCACGGTGGCCTGTTGATGACCGACATTTTCAGGATTTTGCGATCAGGGGAGATCGCGCGCAGTTTGATGAGCTGCGGACCTTGGCACTCCATCTGAGCCATCGTCATGTACAAGGTCTACTGTAGTTGCTACGGGCGTTGGGCGCTACATTTGTGGATCGAAGTGGCGCTACGCCAAGGACTGGCCCTTTCTGAGAGTGGATAATAGGATCAGGCAGGCAAGATGGGAAGCGACGATCCTACAAAGGCAATGGCAAGCTTAAAGGAAAGGGTAAGGGGAAGTTCTCCAAGGGCTATGAACTCCAAGGGCAAGGGCAAGGGCAGGCGCGGTCGCTACTACGTGGGGGCCGCTACAACGTGCGGGCTCGCCATGTTTGAGATTGGCGCGGCGGACCAACGCCGCTGGGTGTTCGAGAGACCAGCTCCACAACAGTTTCGAGCGGCAAGGCGGGGCCGCTCGTGGCCACAGTGGCTCGACAATGCGCCACGAAATGGTCAGACCAGAAGGTCAACTTCTTCTCTCAGTCCTGCCTCATAACGACGATGCGAAACTGTCAGATCCTTTCAGTCCTGATCGCCTCAGGCGCGGCGCTTCCAGCGCTATGACTCCTTGGCTGCTAATATGTTGGATCTTTAGACTTTAACTTTTTGCGAAGTAAAGGTGTTTCCACTAAACCCCCAAAAAGTTAAACTTCTTGCGGGGGGGTCAACAGCAACCAAGACTATGGATGGCACACGTCTTCTACGGCGCTCCTGCGGGACTCCCCTCGCCGGAGCAGTGCTGCCGGAAGTCCAGTCGATAACTAACTTTGAGCAGACACCTCAGCTGGATGGCCCACGCGGTGTCTGGTGTGGATGGTCGGCTTCCCGGCGGACCGCTACGACTGCCACTGCCCAACATCTCCATCAACTGTCGCAGCGGCCACGGAGGACGAAGCTACGGACAGCTCCAGGCAAGCTTCAAGGGTTAATCAGCTGCTGCACGCCCTGGTCGACTGCAGGCCCTGATTGCCGACGTCAAGCGCCTCAATGTGAAGGGCGCACGCTGCGCTTTACACGCGGAGGTGATACCTCAGCCCAAGCGAACCTCATCTACGCATTGTCGTGAAAGGCGATTTCAATCGATGGCGCGTCAACTCGATCGCGGACATCCGCGCCGTGACAGGGAGCAACTCAATGCGCGGACTCGTTTGAAGGCCACGCCCCACCATGTGAAGCCAAGGGCTGAGTGACATCCTTCAACGTTTTCACTCCCGCGGGTTGCAAGACCCCAAAGCAGAGTGATTTTCATCTCCCACACACCAGTGACGACTGCGTTTGTCTAATAGGGGTCTGAAGGCTGGCCCCCTTCATTTTAGAAGCCCCGTTTTGGCGTACTGGTCAGCATTTCGCAGAACATGTATTTTTCAAACTACTGCCTTGTCTTTGAGGATTGGAACGTTAGTCTCTGGTTCTATCCGCTGAGACGCAGCGCAGATCCCTGCTATGAACGCAGAACCCTACCCAGAGAGATCGTTTTCTCACGGCGCGCGGCGAGTCCATGGCTTCTTTAAACATGCGTTTACAAAGCCAATTTGACATACGGAAGGATTAAGAACCTGTGAAACAACTTGCGTCGCCCGAAACGAAACTTGTCATTACCCCCTTCTGTCGTTGGGCAAGAAATCGCTGGCCAAGGACACTTGAGACTCCGTCACCAGTATCTGATATCCATTTGAGCCTGGAGCGAGGGTGTCTCCTGATACTGCTGAGTGTTCTGCGTGTGTGTGAAGACAAGAGCATCAGTGTGCAAGTGGAGGACCTGGAGGATTCCACACTTCTCCGTGCAACTCGACTGGTTCACGCGCCTTTGAAGCAGTGTAAGAGGGGCCGGAGCTCGAACAAAAGCGCAAGACACCGGCGTAGTAATTCGCGTCAGACACTTGGGTAAGTTATATACATATATATATATATTTGTATTTATATTTATATGGTGTGCCCCACCAAGGATGGAGGTGTGCTGTAGTTCTAGATTCTGGATACTAGCGTTTAGAATTCTAAACACCGCTACATAAGTATTTGCGGGGGTTCATGAAGCCCCCTCGAATTTAAACACCGGTAGATTTCTACGCTGGTATTTAGACCCTGGATCAAGATCCAAAATTCGTGAGACTGTTTGGGATCCCCCTAACATCTAAATGCACAATGTGGTGCAGGTATTTGGAACAGACTTGTAGGAGATCTTGGACGCGCGAACCCCCTCCCCCTGAAACCTAAATACCAGTGTCTAGATTTTCTGGGGTTCATGGGTCCAGCAATAGTGGATCCGGCCAGGGTCGAGATGCCGGAAGGGTCAGTGATTCACAAGTCTCCCAGCGCTCTTGTGCCTGGGATCTTGGATCCAGGTGTCCACCAAAAGTCCCGTCTAAATGCTTTTCTGAGAAGTTCAGACTCAGCAGCCATAGTTCAGGGGCAAGTTATTTCACAACCACTTGCATGGGCAAGCTTCAATGTTAAACGTCCTTCATTTTCTGGGTTCAGGATTCTGGACAAAGCTTTCCTGGCGGGTAATTGTGATTTTCCCTAGAAGGCCCATAACGGTTTGGCTGCCTATGACAAGTGAAATTCATCCAGAAGGAAGAAAGGCAAGGCCCTCATGCGAGCTGCTTCCGGCCAACAAGGATCTGACGAGGCGCCCGCTGCGTGTCCCAGTTGCTTCTTGATGCTACTTGCCGCAGTGTGCCCAAAAACCACAGCCGCTCACAAAAGGATTAACCCATGGATAGCGCGCGTGGAAGGTTATCCCGTCTGCTACACCAACTTTTGCGCGCCACTAATTTGCATGGGAGCTAGAGGGCTTTCACCGCCCTGCTGTCGTCCAAAAACTAGTGGCACCCACCTGATACATGTTGCACATATGACGTACTAGCCTATGGTAGGTTCAGTTTAGTAGCTGGTATGGGTAAGAGAATGACTTATTCTATTTGCACCCTCCATCGGTCATCAGACAACTTCTGATAAGCAGGTCTCCCAAGAAAAACTCAACCCATCTTCGAGAAAAAAACAAGAAGCAATGGATCAGAGACATGCCCTGCGCTACATGAAAACATTGGTTTCGTGAAAAACACAGATTTCACTCCGTTTCTGGCGCGTGCCAAACTCTCCGTGCTTCCCAACACCAAGCTAGAAGCCTGATGATCTGCTGCATATTGGCCCACCCTGTGACAGATGTAGTTGCCTGTCAATGCCACTTCCGCGAACATGTTCTCTCCTGTTCTACTTTGGAGACGCACAAGGCAAACCGTGAGAATAGTACACGCAAGTCGGCCCACACACAAAATGCATAGAATTTGTTTTTTTACAACCATGGCGTCAGTGCAACCAAACCACAGGCGCAGGCTCATGAAAGGTGAAGCAAAGCAGCAATCAGTGTGGGCCAGTTGCAGAGAATATTGAAGCTAACACTGCTTTCAGTAACCTCTTCCAATCTTGCATCATCAGCAGCGCCAGAGGCTTGTTATTATGCCGCTACTCATACAAACGCTCAAGAAGCAAACACTAACCCAGCGCGCGAGCTGTCAAGAAGCACATCTCAATATAGAAATAAAGTGACCTTTTATAGATGTGTAAGCAGCAGGACATCCTAGAAGTTTACAAATGGGAAGGAACGCTAAGGCATCCCAAATCCTGAAGAATCTACTGGGTCCCAGGGCTGAGTCTGGGGGCTCTACGGGGGGGAGGGGGGGGGGGGCGGAAAAGAATCAGAAACGAAATGACACTTATAATTCTGTTTTTTGTTCTTACATGCCTGGCGCTATGCTATAATCTGCCACGTGATATCAAATCACACTATACGCGCCGTGTGCAACAAATTTATATATTTATACAGAAGGGGACGTTGTGGAGGCCAGCTTCTTTTTGTTGCTATTATTATTCGTGTGTGTGTTTTCGGTCATCTAGTTTCAAAAGCAAACATCTATGGCCTCCGCAACGCTTCTGCGCAAAGACAGCACGACATGGTTGGGCGCGGTGGATTTCAGGAAGAAAATGTTATGCGTTACATTTTCTAGAATCGATATGTAGAAGGAGAGCTGGGGGGGGAGAGGGCGAAGAAAAAGTGTGGGAATCGAGGTGGGGTGGAGTTGGGTGGAGTTGGCTTTGGGGAGGCGTTGGAGTTGAGTTTGGGTGTAAGGCAATGTGGTTCGATGTGATGAAATGAGATGTGATGCAATGGTATTGCATCAACCCCGAAACCCGTCCGCCCTCACCGCTGCTGCCGCTTTGTCTTTCCTGGCTCAGCGGAGTCCTTGCAGAAAGGGAGGCTTGACAGCTGTGCGATTGACAGTTTACGCAAAAGGTTGCAAAACAATTGCCTTCACTCACGCAAGCGTCAAGCAACAGCAGCAACTTGAACCCTCGCAATCTGTAGTGCAATGTAGCGCAATGCAGCGCAGCGCAGTGCAACGTACTCAACTTAACGCAACGCAAAACAGCGTAACGTAAATGGAATGACATTTCAAATAGTGCGGCGGTTCTGTGGCAACCGTGTGTGTGTGTGTGTGTCTGTATGTCTGTGTGTGTGTCTGTGTGTCTGTGTGTCGGTGTGTGTCTCTGTGTCTCTGTGTCTCTGTGTCTCTGTGTCTCTGTGTCTCTTGCGAAATTGAGTAGCTTATGTGAGCAACACATAGTTACAATCAGTCCATGTATGTCCCTGTAGGAAGTCCCCTTTTTTGGGAAGAGGACACATCGGGTCCATCCATCTCCTTGACGCCGGGTAAAAGCATCGATGTTGTTCATCGACTTCGAGGGGGAAAATGCCATGTCAATGCCATGTTCGAGAGTGAAGGCTTTGGGGATTCGGAGTGAATCAACCTAACACCTGGCACTAACCAAAGGAAGTTTGGAAGGAACTTTCGTAGTACGGACACTCAATGCACTTGTCCATCACCGCAGCATTTGGTGGCCGTCTCGCTACTCTGCTGAAACTGCGCATCAGTCTCAACAGCTTAACAGCTTGGGCCGAGACTGGACACATGCCACTTCTGTTTGCTATCTTCTTCTCGAGCTCGGCTAAAGGTCTTGCCACAAGCAAAGCAAGAGAGCACTTGCATAAACTTGCAAACTGCGCCTTGTAGCGTTACGGCCGGGACATCCTCGCCTAGCGACGCAGACATACGCCGCGCCAAATCGGCAAGCGTCAGCAAAGGTGCCCGTTTGGCGCGCACCTCTGTCACTTGGCACAGCTCCAGAAAATCCTCAGTGTTTGAGCCGGCAGTAGCTTGGTCATCCAGGGCCTTTGCAGCGGATGACACCAGCAAGTTGCGCAAGCAAGTTGCATTAGCAAGTAGCACTAGCGAGTTGCGCAAGTTACTCGCTCTTGGAGATCTGGTCCTATCGCAGAGAGGATCTTGTTGCATTGTAAGGGGGGGGTCCGGGCTCCAAGGTTTTTTCTGACCGGTTTCCAGAAAGAATTGTTCTGGAAGTTAAGGTGGGTGAGTCGGGCCCCCAGCCAAACCATTAGCTCGTAAGAGTTGTTCGCATCGTCCGTGCACTTGTCGAGCTCTCCTTGAAAAACTTGGTTGATGCATAGGAGCCTTTTCCTGTCAACCTACTTCGCTGACCTTGACAACTTGGAAACAGTTCACGAACCCGGCCAGTACGATTACAGTGCTTCTAGAGTCTAGAGCTGAGCGAACGCAAGGCCCAGAAGTTGTTGCCAGCGGCGTGCGTTGGAATGACGGCCGCCGGTCGAACTCCAAGATGAACCCGGCCAAGCTGGTGTCCACTGCGCAGCTAGCATTGGTACGTTGGCCATCTTGGGAGCATGCGGCGCGCTGGACACAACAGGGTCTTTCCTGCAGCGCTCCTGCATCCCTAGCATTATCAGTCGCCCAGCGCCCCCCTCCCCCCGCTTCATACGATTGGCTGACCCCCGCACAAGGTTTCTGGTTGCCTCACTGCCAAAATGCTTTCTGGAGCCATGCCCCTTCTCCATTCCAAGTCAGATATGGCCACTTGGTCCTGATGCGCCACAAGGATGCAAACCAGTCAGTTAAGGCCACTTGGGGCCACTTGGCTGGGCTCTGCGCCACAAGGATGCAAACCAGTCAGTTACGGCCACTTGGTTGGGCTCTGCTGACGCGCCACAAAAATACAAACCAGTCAGTCAATTATGGTCACTTGGGCTCGCTGCGCCACAAGGATGCAAACCAGTCAGTTACAACCAATTGGCTGGACTCTGCTGATGTGCGCAAGGATGCAAACCAGTCAGTTAAGCGGCTCTGCAAGCTGCTGGGCTCAAGCCTTCACGAGGCGCAGCTTGTCACCCGGGGGCGGGGTGCGAATTTTGCCACGGTTGCTTTTCCTTGTGTGCCTGGGAAGGCTTTTCCTGACCTTATGCGTTTGCTTGATGACCTTGACTCGTGCTGCCTTTTTCGATTTCTGGCCCTGCAGCTTTCTGCCGGAAGAGAATTTCACTGGCAACTTCATGGTGCAGTTCCCTCAGGTGTGTCTGGATTTTTCTTCAGACCCTTTGATGGTACCTGTGAAGATATTTGATGCTCGTGGACACAGCTTGGACGACGATGCTTCCTTACGTATTTCATCGGCCCTTTTCATGGATTTTCCTTGGCAGTCTGGTGATTATGGCTTGCTGTCATCTGCTATCTAGGTGTGCAGACAACCTAGCAGGATCTTTCAGCTTGATCAGACAAGGTCTTGCCTCTCCAGGTTCTTTTCGGTGCGAGATCCTGGAGTCATGATTGACTTGTTTGGAGGCTTTGGAGGATGGAAGATGGGACTCAGCATGTTGCATCACTATGCCAAAGCAGGTCTGCCACCCCTCCTGTGCTCTGTGGAGATTGA